TGAGTTCTAGGCATGTTGTAGCACAAGATAGTTAGTGTGTGTGAACCATTTTCATTTATATAGTGTTCTGTGAACACAAATTAGTCAGCATAAATCAGTTAAATGACGAAAAATTAGGTGTCTATTTACTTGTGACCACTCAGTGTATATTGGAAGATATTTCAATTTTTTCTAATCTCTTGTTTTTGTTTCAAAACTATCTCATTTAATGTTTATTGAAGAGCTATACAATTAAACAGATGCAGTATTCTTAGATTCCAGTTTTGCAAATTAATGTTGAATTAACATAAATATATCTATTTTTTATAACAATGTTCATTCTTCAGCTTTTTTTTTTTGCTTTTTTTTTTTACAAACTATATACCTATCACAGTTTTGTATATTTCCAAAATATGCAATAGCATTTGCAACAGTTTATTGGTTATTTGATTAATCATTACCTGAGTACAAAAATCATTGTGGAATATTGTAACAATAACATTCTGAAATATTAAATTATGACTAACATACATTTTCGTGAAATGAAATTTTACAGTTGGGTGTATTTTTGTTATGAAACCTAAGATACCTAGTTTGACTAATGTTTTTGCAAAATTTCACCTAACATACCAAAAAACAGAAAAACTTTTCCCCATATATATAATGAATAATATATAATTTCACACTGTCTCCAAGGGTTTAACATTCTTATCTCTACTCTGGTAAATTAACCTAATGTACAGTGTTATTTAAGCTAATAAGTTAAAAATTAAATTAACTGAAATTTGGAACTCTTTATTGAGATGAATTATGATTTAAAGTAGGATTAAAGCTGAAACGTATTTAATGTATTGTTTTTATTTGGACATTTAATTTGTTGTTTATTCATCAGTACTGTTGTCATTGTTATGATAAAACTGCATTGTTCACCTACATTCAAAACATATTAATCTATCATCACTGATGAAACTGTCTTTCATTATTTACTGGACCTTAATATTCCCAGTGCATACATTTTCTACTTCAAAATTGCTGGTAGTGTATATCACGATCACACAATGAGAATTAAAGAGTCTGTTTGTTACAGATACATAAAAAAATTTCAATCAGCAATCAATTAGTCTCCAAGTATTACTACTCTTATAACTGTAGTAAAATTTGTTTAAAAAAAAAGTGCTTGCTTCTTGCATCACACTATGCTGTATTTTATGTTCAGACAGAATTTCCATGCCTCCTAATAAAATTAAAATAATTTCTAAATGCACCATTCATGAAAAATTGTATGACTTTGGCACACAATTTACAGTAGGTGTATGAAATAGTATCTGCTCTGACACAAGTTAACTCTTTCATTGGGGGTTTGGTCCCAGGGACCGACCTCATAATTATTTTGTGCTTGTTATAATTTTCATGCTAACTTTTAATACAGTAAGCGTATCTTCATGAAAATTTGCAGATTATCAATAAACATTACAAGTCTTTCATACACAAAATGTGAGATTTTTTTATTCAGTTTAAAGATTTTTTAGGTAATGTTTTTCTCATGCATTTTTTCTTTTTGAGTGTTGACTATGCAAATTAATTTTGATTTTAAGATTAAAAGTACTTTTATGCATCATAAAATTTTCAAATTTCACATGCAAAATCTCTATAACCTCCAGACAATTATCAAAAGTGTTTTAGAAAAAAACTTTACATTTTATCTGTTATTTCCCTATTGTATTTCTGTAAGGATTTAGTCAACTTGACTGACCTCATAACAATCACAAAAAAAAAGTAGGAAACAGATATAAATTATGCTTTTTTTTGTTCCAGAATGACTACAAATTATAACACAAATGTTTAGTTTAATAAGCTTTGATCTCATAACAATATACATCTATATATATATACATATATATATATTTATTATTTTTATTTTATTGACCTTTCAGCTGTGCCTGACCAACACTACAGAAATTGCAATGATGCCGTGCACGTGCATTCATTTTACCATATCAAGAGTATAAAACTGGCCTTTACAAAGTGAACTGTCATGGCTGTGTTCTATTGGACCAGTATTTTGTAAAATACAGTTACATATCGGTTATAATACCTCATACATACATTATTGCTATTTACAAACAAACAGTTATTTTTCTTAAAACATAGAACAGTAAATAATGAGGTATAGAAAACAATTTATCTCTTCTAGTTACAAACTTTGTACTTGTTCGCTGCTTGCTGTAAGTTGCTAAGCCTTATTAAATTTCACACGTGGAGGATGTAAAATATCTAAATATTTGAAAGAACAGTGAATTCATTAATTTTTAGTTCAAATTTATATTTTGCATACCATTTTCCCAATCAATAAATGCTTCCAGATTGAAAGATACCTACAGAGATGTACAGCAAAGAGATAAAGAGGGATACCCAGTCCAACATGACATTGTTTATTTCTTCAAAAGTTCAGTCTCATACTTGAGTGTCCAATAACAGATTTTTGAACTATGCAGCATGAATTTGAGAGAAAATAAAATGCTGATTAAAAAAAGAACTAATAACTCTGTTAAAAAATGAGCAACTTTTTTTTTTATAGGGGACAGATGTTTATTCTTGAAAACTTTTAAGGATTCCTACCATTTTTCAAGCAATATTAAATATATTGCATATTCACAGTTTTTCAATATTTTCGAAGACCCATACAACCCAATAAAAGTCAGAAAAATTCATTTACACAAAGCTGGCACAAAATAAGGAGCTATCATTAAGCTATATAAATTGTATACCTGGAGAAGAGTGCATCTGATAAGAAGCATAGACAAAAAATAAGTGGGCAGGGTGCCACTGTGTTTGAATTATTACATGAGCAATATCTTAGCAAATTCAAAATAAAAGATGCTCTTATTTTATATTCTAACTTGTCAATATGGGTAATTTGAG